ATCGAGCGTCCTCGATCCATATCAGTCACAAGCATGGCCCTCTTCGTTGGACCGTCAGCCATGCTTGCAAGACGGTCCCCCTGCATGTTCACTATAACAAAAAAGGCTATTCGCGCTTCCCGTGCGGGAAGGAAGAAATGCTGGCGCATTCCCTGGCGCTCACCGTGCGGAAACAACATTCTGTCAGCGCTACCCGTGCGGGAAGCAGAAACTGTTTGCGCATACCCTGCGGGAAGATAAACTTGCAGCATTGCAGAAGCAAACCACCTTATATGGACATGTGAAGCATGCAAAGTCAGTCGCCATGTACAGGCGTGTACACACACACATATATATATATGTATCTGTGTGTGTGGATGGCGTGTAAGTTACTATATTATGTATGTATTGACGCATGTCTGTATGTGATGATGGGGTGTCTGTGTGCATGTATGCTGTGCATGTTATTCTGCCATGCTATGCCATGTTATGTATGTGAGCCGGCGTCCAAAACTATTTGTTTATGCCAGCTTCGTTTCAAATTCTAGATTAGGGCATCCCCTGTCGGTTTACAGGTTTTGCAACTTGAAGCAGACTGGAACAAATGATGCACTGCTTCGGAGTAGGGAGATATACAGTTTCGAACATGCAGCATTCCAGGGTGTGGCCTTGGGTTGCGGTCTTTGGGGCCTTTTGAATTGTTTTTGGGCTTTTGGGTTTTGAGCTTCGCCGGTTTTTGCATTTTAGGCGCGGCGTCGCGCAGTCATGAAGAACTGGTTTCTGAGAGCATGCGAAGCTTTTTTTTGATATGGAAAATTAGTTTAGGCCTGGGGTTGAAGCTTCTAGGATTTGGACTGTTTGGAGTCCTTTTGTGGGGGCTTTTGGGCCTTTGGTCCAAGGAATACTGGCACAGTACCTGAACAGCCACGGGCCCATCTCGGCCACTCGCGGCTACATTTTGGTTCCGGTATCGTTCTGTACAATTTAGGGATGTCCTCTCATTTCCAAAATTTCCATCCCGACAACCTGGACACCCTTACTGAATTGAAAGAATCCAGGAGACGAGCGCTACAATCGCAACATTGCCGTATTGAGGGGTGTCGTCTCTAGCGCGTCCCATATCGCTTTACAGGTCACCGCGGGCATTTGCCATCTTCGACAACCGCCTGCTTTAAAATCAATATACGATCACTTTGACCACATCTCATGTACTGATGTGTGCATGCATGCATGTATGGACGTGCGTACGCATGCGTTTGCAAGCTTCTCTGCAAATGGCCGCTCAAGTTGTGACCTTCAATTTTCATCATTTGTTCATGCAAATCTACTGCGACTTGCTTGTCACAAAGTGCAGTGCAATGCAATGCGACCTGTGCAGGGCACAGCGTAAGAAAAGGGAAAAGTCAAAGAAGCTGCATTTTGCCCGCATCAGCGTGTCGCAACTCGTCCTAGTGATTGCTAGTGAGACCAGCCCAATGTGGCCTGAAGCGCTCGGCGCTACGACCAACGAGCCCATGTTCTGCGATGAACGGGAACACGGACGGGGGCAGAACAGCGCAGGCGTCTCGATGGGCGAAACTGACTATGGGGTTGCATGGCCGTGCCAATCTGCCGCAGAAGTTGAGAAAGCATCGCGTCTCGCGATGATGAGAGCCAGCAAGCTTGCCGGCAGGCAAACAAAGCCGACAAACCTGCGTGCATGCAAAGAACTGAATTGCCAGGCGTGCAATAGTGCTGCAGGACCGTCTTCACATGTCTGCATCCCGCCCAACGTAGACATTGATTGATGGAGCCGAAGCTGTGGTTTTACATCGTAGATGATAATCGGCAAGACACTCTGTGTCGTCTTTGTAGCATGAACTACTTAGAGCATCAAATGCTAACGATACACGGCCAGGTCACAGACATTCGCACCTGTGGTTCTCTCTGAAGCTTCTTGACTGTGGCTTTCAGGTTTCGATTCTCGTGGATGCAACTCACAAAGATGCTTTGCAATGCAAAGCATATCTCGAATGTCGTGAAAGCCTGCCGCACACAGCCTCCGGAATGCATTTGAGCTCGCGACAAAAACTCTCTAAGGCAAGCATGAAGCCGCATCCTCATTTTAGACTAGGGCCTAGGGTTCGAAGCCAGTACACAAGCTTCTGGTTGTGCCTAACTTTATTCAGAGCCGGGCAAGCATCTATAGCATTCGAGATTTCGATTCACTCGTGGCCCAACTCCTCCTCGAGTTCCTCGATGCGGCGTTGAAGCGCGATAATCCTCGGCTTCAACAAAAACCAGCTTGACTGCGCACCTGCCCGGTCAGCTGATTCTGCCGCCAGGAAGGCAAGGCATACTGGATGTTGCAACGGTTTTGGTGGGCCCCACTTGCACAGGAGTCCCGAGTAACTGCCCCGACTCCCGAGCGAGCTCATCCGCGTAAGAAACAGAAGGTGATCATCTTCTCCTGTTGTAAAGTGATCTCACACATTCCAATCCTCCCAGCTTCGTCGCATCTGACACATCATTAGAGCCGATGGGATTCCATGCATGCAACACTGCCTAAATCATGATGCCCAGGTGCTGTTGATGAACAGATGTCTTCTCGCCCTTAAGAGCGGTCACCTTAAACGGGCCCCAAAACCCTCAACCAAGCTCCTCCGCTTTTTGAAAATGTTGGATCTTGCCTGCTGCTGTAGACGGACATTCTCTGCTTCCTGCAGCTTCTGAGACACCTGCCGGAAGCGAGGCACTGACTGGGGCCACATGCTTGAGCTTCGATAGAAAGCGACCCATATCTTTCAAGGTTCCTGGTCTCACACCCAGGAGGGAAACTCCTTCGAATGTAATCCAGGGTTCTTCCGTCTTAGTGCGTGGCGTGGCATGCATGCGGGCGTGTGCACCTGCTTGCCTGGGGGGGCGGGGCTGTATTTGTATCACAAAGGATGTCAAACAGGCGACTCAGGTTCATGTCGCTCCTGGACTCCTGGACCAGGAGTTTGATGTCATAGTTCACACAGACTTGTTTTGGCTGCACCGCTCTGCATGACGTGTTGTTTCTGCTGCCTGCTATCCCCCCACTCGCATAGCTTGCCGATCTGCCAGACGGCCAAACAGTTCAGAGTGCACGCTTTCTCCAAATTTGCTTCTTTGAACAGAACCTGCTTTTCGTCAAAGCTTGGACTTCGACTTCAAGCAAAGGTACATCAATAATGCAGCCACAGATTGGCATGCAGACGCTTCCCAATTGGTTCGAGTGCTTCGGCGGTACTAGGCTGCGTTTGCCGGAAGTTGACAGTATACGAGTATATACTCGAGGCGGCATTTGGCAGTGATTGGCGGTTTTTGGCGGTCCAAAGCCGGGGTCTATCTGGCGGCACTCCTGCGGTATGCCACAGTCGCAAGAGTTAATGATGCGGCAACCATCCTGCCCCGCTACCCTCAATATGGAACACTGCGCAAATCTCCTCAACCTCGCGAGGAAACACGAGGGAACGACATCACAGCAAATGAAATGGTCTGCCAGACAGGAACTCGCGCGTGGATGCAAACCCCGATCGCATTGTGCTGGCAGCATGTCTTGCTTTATTCAACAGTTCTCCCATCTGGAGATTTCCGATCTCCCGGACTGTTGGCGGCATGCCCTAAACATTAGTTGCACAGCCTGGCGCTGGATGTCATGCAGCTTCGCATGCTTGGTTGACACCCCCGCTCCACAACCGCAGCAAACAACGCATGATCACGTCTAAAGGGTGTGCCGCTGAATGACACTGAAGCAACGCCCCGCCCCTGTCTCCTCGCCTCGAACTCTTGCATCATGCGTTGGATGTCAGCCCCGAAGTACCGCTTCACGTCATTCAGCTGGGACTGCATGCCTCCGAAGCAGTACCAAGCATCACACGAAGGGATGCTGGGGGAGGGGCAGGTTACTGCACTAAGAGGAGCCCAGCTGGAACATGGAACAGCATCCAGTCCGAAGGGCCGCTGGTCGAGTTCGAGTTTCCCGCTTTGATGCTGTGCACCTCGGATGATTTGCTCAATCCGCAAGTGGATCCCCGGTCCCGGTCGACTTCCGAGCTTCGGGTGCAGATTGCTTCCAGTAGGCTTCCAGCCCATAGCACGACAACAGTGTCACAAGCATATATATGTATGTATGTATGTATGTATGTATGTATGTATGTATGTATATATGTATGTATGTATGTATGTATGTATGTACCTTCCTGCCTGCTGATTCTTTTGCCTCCTGATTGTCTTGTCCTTTGCCTCCTGATTGTCTTGTCCTTTGCTCCTGCTTGGTTGTGCAAGCCTGCTCTGAACAGAGCTTTTCCCCCAATGCCGACCCCCCTGCCACAATGTTCATATCACAGGTTCTGGTTTACCATCTTCCCTTTCCTCAGTGCCCGATTCAAACCCCTGCCCTACCTGCAGATTGCAAACCCAACCATGCAGTCCTACGTCCTACGTCTTAGTGGTTTATTCTTGCAGCCTGCAGTTTCCGCACCGCGCCTGCAGTCCTGCGTTCCTGCATCCGCTGTTGGCTACCGTGCATGCAGTTCTGCGAGATATTATGAGATATTTGGGACCGGGAACATTTGGGAAATGATGTCGACTTGCACGTTCTAGTGCACAGGCGCTCTTGCAATCATCGGGTTTCGGATGCTGTGCTATTCCCTAAACTCGAAAGGTTGACGATTGATTCTCCCATCCTTCAGTCCTCGAAGCGACCCCTTAAAGGTGCTCCGGATTATCCACAGGTACTGTTGGCCTGACCAATTGACATTCCAGCTTGCACTAGATAGGATACAGCTCGCACTCTCTCTTTTCCGATCTCGCGCTCGCAGGGTGGGCGGGTGGGCAAAATCAGCTGCCTGCCGTTTTGGATCACAGTTGAACCAGAATGGCAGCCAGCGACAAGCTTAGAATGATGCATGTGCACCCAAGCTTGCCATACTCAACACATGTGCACATTCCAGCTTGCACTAGATAGGATACAGCTCGCACTCTCTCTTTTCCGATCTCGCACTCGCTGCTGCAACCAGTTCGAATCTCTGAAGGCAACCCGGGCACTCCGGGATAGTGCTTTGGTAAAAACCTCGAGGTAACGATACGGACAGAAAGGTCCCCACCTTTCGAACATATCCAACCTCGGAAGAGAACACCCAATGGAGCCCGAAGTCCGGGAGAGTCTTGTGGCCGGAATTGGTCCGGAAGTGTATGCTTGCTTCACTCCCGGCGATCAGAAAATCGCCCAGCTCGAGCTCGCGATGGTGTGTCCGAGCCCCGTCCTTTCGTGGCAGGCGTGGCTTCTGGTGCATTGATAATATCGCAGCTCTTATGTCTTTGATCCGGGGCCGTTCGAGTTCGCCCGATTTGGAACGACTAGCCCAGCTCATTCATTTGGCCATGTTCGCCTTGCGCTCCTCTTTCTTTTTCGAGTATATTCCGTCTAAGAAGAATTGGGCTGACGCTGTCAGTCGCGTTGGTTTTGCGGATCCCTGGCTTCATCAGCGTGGCTTTACTTGACATGTTGCTTGTTTCCCCACTCAGCTCGTGGATCTCCCTTTCCTCGCGGTGCTACGGGTGTTCGAAAGGTTTCTTTGAAGGAGTGCTTTGGGGTGTTCAGTGGTGGAAGCCGCCCGAGCCTTGACCGGGAACATCCTCGGCTGCGTCACTCGCAGCCAGAAAACGGGGCCACACACCCGGGGAAGAATGTCGAACTCTCTCTCCGGACGAGCGGCAAGAACCGCCTGTATGAGAGCAAAACAGGCATGAATCGGTGTTCCGCCGGCTCGCAGATGGCGCGTAACCCGCCGGCCCCGACACGACCGCACATGCCTTGCTCCAAGAAATTGCATGTGCCATAGAGTTTCGCAGCGAGTCCTGAAGGCAGGGACTGAGCATGCACTGCCTGTTCGATGAGATCTTGGACCTTTTCTACAAGCCGATCACGCACAAAGAACCGCACAAAGCCACTTTGCAAGCAGGCACTAAAGTCGATGTTGAGGCCAAGGAAAGTACCGGTCGAACCCATCTGCTGCCGCTTGGCATCGGCAAAGGGGGAACCAAGGCAGGCATTGAGACTCGCAAAAGCAGCCTGGGCTGAGCCCTTGGAGGAGGCCCAATCAGTAAGGAGGGCATCGTCAAAGTACATCGAGATCAGGATGGCCAGGAGCCGCCTGCTGCCCGGCTGTAGCGATTAAAACTGGTCACCGCCAAGGGCAGCCCGAACAACAAGCCTGTATGAACCTTAAACACCGGCTCACCCCACGCCACGACACAACAGCGTGAGGAATCACCATCCATGCATGTGGCAGTGCCGGTATGCCTCCGGCCAATCCTCCCCTCCCCCCCGCCCTCAATGGCATCGTCTGCGACACGTGATAACACAATGTGGAATAAGGCGGAAAGGTTGACCTTTCACGACTCGGAGCAGTTCGGCATGACGCATTGGCTCTGTGCAAAAACCATTGGCAGCGTCCTGGAGGCTCTGCGCCAGGAGGAAGTCGTCATCCCGACCCGGCCGAAGGCTTGCCCTGACACGGTCGTTGGACTCAGCGGAATCGCTTCAGGCCAATATGCCGGTGACGGGTGACCTTGCGCAGCTGTGGATGCTGGCGTGCTCGGAGGCAAGTGTCCACTCCGGCCGACTCCGGCCCAACGCCGCTTCAGCTCACATTGATGGCACCCATCGAGCGCTCCTCAGGCACCCCCGTTCGCGAGCGGTGACCTCCGCCGCATAGCACAAATCAAGATCCAGCGCCGGGGTCTGCTCAAAGGGAGTATAGGGTACCTGGCAAGGTCACGTGAAAGCTCACAGTGTTCATCGGGACAGATCGGCAACACCGCGGTAACGCCGCCCGATGCGCCATGGCACCCATCTGCTTGTGCTGGCCCTGAGCTCAGCAGTCCGCTGCCACTGCCGCTGCTGGGCGTTTATTAAGTGTGGCACCAACGCGCCATCCCACTCCTCATCACATGCCCGACACCATAGCAGATAGTCAGTGAAGGGAGGAGAATTGATCGGAACCCAGCAAGGTGATCGGCCGGAAAGAAGGAGGTGAAAGCCGAAATCACCGCCTCCTGACACACATAAGTCATAAGGAATAACCGCTCCCACCGGCCTGGGCAGATTGGAGGCAACAGCAGCCAACAACACCCGACGACTGCGGCGGTGTGAACTGCGCGTGGGCCGGCCAGCCGCTGGCGGGTGAGGTGTTTCCTTGGGAGCGCCGGCATCAAACACCAAACCGGCCAAAATATCGCCTTCGCAAACCTGGGAAAGAGGGCAGTCACAGGCAAGGAGTTTATCTTCAAGCTGCACCAGATCCGTTTGCAAGTTGGCGACAATGTGCTCCACGTACAATGCGAGCCACTCGTCGGCGCCACAACTATGCCCTGGCACAAACGGCGATGCCCATTGGGTCACCGGAAGGAAGACGATGCGAATGGTGACCCAGTGACCCCGGCCGACATACACCACACCTGGCGGCAGGGTCTTGTCGTGCCTGAGGACCGCTGAGACTGAGACCTCCACACGCTTTTTGGGGGACCCTGGCGGCTTCGTTTGGGTCGATCGGCCGCAGGTCCAATGTAATGGCTAGCGGGGATATAGCCCATTCCCGCAGGGCTCGAGGGTCGATATCCAGCCAATTGCTCATGCCGCCCCATGCATTGCATTGGCGGGCCACGCAGGACATGTAGCTTAGCAAAACCACGCCGACATGCCCACCAGCTACAGGCAAACGCAACATGGAAAGCAAACGGGGCTGTATACTCTGCCTCCTCCTTGGAAGGAAAGATGACCTGGCCGTCAGACTCCCATGGTTGCCATTCCTCTGGGTGGTGGGTGTGGGGGTCAGTCAACTCCCAGATGTTGCGCCTGAGCCTTTGACGTTTTCGCCGTGCTCCCATGAAGTTAACAGGCATCATATCGTGCAACCCACCGCTGGCCAGAGGCCCACATCTCGGCTTCCTGCGGGATGCACCAACGCAAGCTATTGCTGGGGTTCTCGCGGATTGCACCACCACCCCGCTCGAGAATCTTCTGCTGCTCGTCAAGGACAAACCTGCAGGCACAGTTACCCTTCGAGACCCTGCGCTGATCACTAATACTCAAACCAGGCAAGCCCATGGGATGCTCATGGCTGCGGAGAGGACGTGGCGCTGGGCGGCCACTAGAAAGCTTCGGAGGAATTTCTTGGATAGCCGACTTCGTGCTGCAATCCAGGGCGGCGAACTGCAGACAAGCTTGGTCAAGGCATCCACGGGTCCGAATCAGAATGCCCGGATTCAAGGAGCATTAGGGCCGCACATGAGGTCCATCATGAGGGGAGGTGCATCCACAGATGGTTCCGGAGGTTCAAGAGGCAAGGTCCTCCGCCCCAGCCTCAACCCACCCTCACTTGCCCTTTTCACGGCACTGTGGGCCCCATTTGCGCAGCTGGAAATCGGGACACAGTTTGGTGCCATCCTTAAGCACAGCCGCCACACGTTTGCCACTAACCTTGGGTCCCTCCCCAAAGTGCGAAACCTGTGGAGCGGCTTGCGAGGCTGTGGCGCCGGTTTATTCCCCGGTGGCCTGAGCATCCCCCAGGCTACCGGACGCAGACGTCCCAGTGACCAGCCAGTGTGCATCCCGTGCCTCCATGACCTGCTTGATTATGACCCCCATGCAGTCGGGTACCTTCTCGAAGTGGGTGACCCACTCGCTGCGCTCCTCGATGTCCTTGGCCTGCAGGCACTGCAGCCGACGAGACGGGGGCAACGAACTCCACTGAAGAGGCGCTGAGGACAGACTCCTTGCACGGGTCCAACCCGGGAAGCGGGTGCACTCCCGCCATCGCATAAGCCAAAAGCAAGGTGTAAAGCTTGTCTAGGTACGTCTCCACGTCCTTCGAAACGGACTCCTCCGTTTCGATCTCCTCAGTATACAGATTATCCCCTAACTTTCGCTTGCGTTGCACTGTTGTAAGCTGAAAGTAGAGAGAGCGGACCTTCCAAATGGCAAACACACAAAGCATCCGTTTGGACAGTTCCCGAGAGACTCTGGACAGCAGCGAGTCCGCGGGATGAACCTCGGCCGGAAAACGCAAGCGATAGCGCTTCCAAAAGGCCTGCTTGACATCTCGCAACTCCACGTCCTCCAACATCGTGTCCAGGTCGGTCAGGGCCACCTTGGAACGATCTTGTTCTGAGGTAGAGAAATAGAGCCTGACCGCCGACCAAGCCCGCCGAAGCCGGGAGGTTTCCAACATGGTCTTCTCGCCCAACCCCAGTTTGGCAACCCGACGCCCCACGTGCTCCTCATTGTCAAAGAAGAACCGGAGCTCCTCCAAATGATTCAACCCTTCCGCAAGAAGCCTCGCTTTTGGATCTCAAATTAAGCACGAGGGTGTCCAAGGATGCCTTGAAATCGGTCCCGTCCCTCGGAACCAGGGCTTGCGACATGCTGCCCACCTGCCTGTCACTCAGGCCTCGGCCCCCCGCCGACTGGGTCCCTCCCAGCTGAGCTCGAATGTACCTCACTCAAGCCGAAACTCACGCGGAACACCTGCGCACGGCAGAGCAAGACAGAAGGAGGGGGGGCAACTTGCCCGACGAGGAGAAAGCAAGACCTGCACATGCGCTACTCACATGGCCAAAGCTCGCACGACAAACCCTCAGGAAACTCAAAAGACTCGCGCCCTTTTTTTGATGCTCTCGTGTACGAGGTGCGCACGAGCCGCAAATGGGCGACGCAAGGAAGGCAAAGAGATGCCCCCCAGCCGCGACGGCGGTCAGCAGGATTAAGATGCAAGGGCTGCTAGGATCATTCACGGAGCTTGCCACCTCGCACCCGCCATGCTGAAGCATTGAACGCAGCTCCCTTTGAGCCACGCAAAGGCCTCGTACTTGTCCGAGGTCCGAATATAGGGGCGGACAGCTTCCGGGCACCTTTGGCATGCATGCGATGGAAAGGGTCACTCCCCTGCCGTTTCAAGGTGCAACAAGGACGTCTGCGTCGCAACATAAGCCACAGGGAGTGGAGGTGCCGCGCCCAATTTGGTCACCCGGACTACCCTCAGCATCCACTCGGCCAGGTCCTTGTTCTTATTAAACTCAATGTCCCGGTTCTTGGATGTAGCGCTCGCTCTCGTCCAAGCTATCGCCACTCATGTGATGGATCGGAGCACAGCACCTGCTGACGCACCCCGGTGGCGCCCTGCCATGCAGTGCGCGAGGACGTTCTGCCCTTAAGGGAAGCACGGCCTAGAAGTCACTCTCCCCGCCCCTGCCTGAAATGATGTTGCACTGGCGGTGCTAGGCCCCTGAATCGCCCCGAGCCACTGGGTCCTGAGCCATAGCCGTGAGCTGCAGTGGGGAAGAGAGCCCCCGCGTCGGCATCATCCTGCCGGGCACCATCCTGCATTGGCCCACAGTGTGCCCACGGTGCTTCGCTCAGGGCGAGTGTGCGGTGGTCGCCACCCAACCGAGCCCCTGATGATGGATGTCGAAGTGGGAGTCCTGGTCGAGCTGGAGCAGCCGACACCCAGAACTCAGCCCAAGCCGAAGAGGGCCCCGAAGAGTTCGGGGGGACGACCCCCACAACCGGCGTGTTCCTCGTCCGAACCTTTGCGCCAGGGGGCCGCTTCGACTTATGGACAAACAGGCCGCTAGCCATCATCCAGTCATTGATGAGGAGTCGCGGGGCATGCAGGAGCGGTCGTGAGCTTGAGGAGCAGCATACCATTCTGAGGAAGGCCGAGCAGACACGATCATCGTACCCTCCGCTGACAGCTTATCCTGGAGGCTTGCATAAGTAGTGCACCCATGCTTCGGCCCACGGCCAAGCGGATCTGCGCGGGGAGCGCCGCCAGGAGTGCAGTGTTCCTTCCTCAAAGTGCTGGCGGCGAACAAGGTAGCTTCGGCCGAGCATGCTACAGTGGCCTGCACTTTGCGTACACTGAGGGAGCTTTTGCAGTGGCAGGTCCTCCGTGGTCGGTCGGGCGGCCTGGTCCACATCGACCTCTTAAGAGCCTCCTGCGCGACGGCACGCAAGCTCCCGCTCGTGCTTGGGCTGGGCTCCGATGGTTCGTTAAGTTGGCTGGCCTCGACTGGGACCTGAGCGATTTGCAGCCGGCTCCATAGCCGGCTCCTACTTTGGGGAGGGAGGGACCCTCACAGGCTGCTGTGGCTAAGCCGGGTATGATCGAGGACCTGGAGCATCGGATTGTGCTGCTTTATGACGCCGGGGATCTGCGTTGGTCTTGCCTCCTGGCTGATTGGCTGATTCTGGCGGCCTGCCTTCGCCACAAGCATCTGGAACGATCTTACCCGATCTGTGTGACCCAGTCGACAGCCCATTTTTTTTCGTGCCAAGGGTAAACAAGCCCATTGTTGTGGGGGCTTTAGGTGGGCGGCGCCAGCTCACTTTTTCGAGGGCCGGCTGACGGGCCCCGGCATCGACCAAGAAGTCGCAAAGCTCGGTAGCCTCCACCCCGATCGCCGCGGGTGCTGCACGCTGCCTGCGTCGACACGGTCTCAGGCACCGGTTTGCGCACTGTTTGGCCGCGGCCCTCCGAAGCTGCCCCAGCAGCGACGGCTGTCCACCAGGCTGAGCACTGCGTCATCCTCCAGGTCCTGGGACAGCTCAGACCAGGCATCTGCCACTGCGTGCCCCGCATGGTTCGCTGCCTCCTCGCTGGAAAAAAAGGCATAGGCGAAATCAGCATCTTCCACTAACTAGCCCGTGTCGCTCACGGAATGCTTGAACGGCTTGGGCAGCCAAGCGGTCCACCACAGTCTCGGCAGCCGTCCCGAGAGGCGCATCAACCGCGCCGCGTAAATGCCGGACATTGGCCCGACAGCAATCGCTGCTGCGAGCAAAACCCCTATCCTACGAGCATGAGGTGCAGCGGGACAGGCAGTCAGTGCATGTTGGGGCTTGGCATCTCCGGCAAACGAAGCATGAGGGAACGCCACAACTCTTGCAAGGTCAAAACAGCGCCGCCTCATGTGCCTCACCGGCCTCAACCAACTCACGCAAGCGGGCTCGAAACTCCAAGAGCGCGGCTGGATGAAGCAGCTGCTCCTCGGTATGAACCGCCAAGCGAGCAACTGCATATTGCATCTCGGGTCACTCCCGACAAACAGGGTCACTCCCTTGTCAGCGAAATTAAGGGGTCAACTCCCCTTGCAAAAACCCAAAATCAGCTGCCTGCCGTTTTGGATCACACGTGAGCTAAAATGGCAGCCAGCGACAAGCTTAGAATGATGCATGTGCACCCAAGCCTGCCATACTCAACACATGTGCAAAGAAGACTTTGTGTGCTTTCCCGGACCAAATGCAGACCGTATATACGTTGTCAATATTATGGGAACCCTTGGAATTACAGGCAATCGTCAGCTGCAGTGGCATAGTCTGCAACAGGTATTCGACCTGACAAAACTGCTCATCTGAGACGGAACCCAATGCAACGTCAAATCTCAGCCTGGCAAGTGAGGCAATTGAGGCGCAAAGTTCCAATACCTTCTGTTGCCAAGGCACATGTCCTTTTTCGATGCCCAAGGCCTCGTTCTGGGACTGGAGAGTCGTGGCCAAGTCGTGCACCTTCCCGTCGTGCAGTCTTGGAGCTCTTGTATAGATTACGATGCGGCTTGCTGGTGCACTCTGGCGAGTGAGGCGGCGTTTCAGGCTATTCCTGAAGAAATCAGCTTCCGAAAGAGGCCTTGTTGAATCCGAAGCAGTGCAGGTGCGAGCCTTGCCCTTCATGCCGGTGGGCTTCCGGGAAGCACCTTGCACTAGAGGGGTCGGATTACCTAACCCGTCCCAAGCCGCCATTGCATGGCTTCCCAAGAAGTCCATTGGCAAGAATCGCCCTCTGCGGGGGCAGTGATGCACCACCTATGGAACTTGCTCACTAGAGCTCTTGTCGATGAGCTCTGTGTCAAATTTTGACAACTTCGAAGCCGAACTCACAAGTTCAAAAGCGAACCTCGATTCTGACTCCCGCAGGGGCGAGCTTCGATGTTGAGCTTTGCTCATGTCTGAATGACAGGCCGTTCTTTGCAAGTTTGTCCGACGTCTTCATGCTCAGCCCAGCTTGGACTCTAGCCTCGCGCATGTGTCTTGCCCATATCACTTCGAAGGCTCCAAAACATCTGGAACCAACTTTTTGTATCGTGTTCGAATTCCCAAAGGCACATTCAGCGGGGTCTCTTAATGAACATGACCGTGCCAAACAAGCGCTGACTAACAGTCACATCCCACGGAGGTATCACTGCTACCCCACTCCAGCCAAGCTTCTCATGATGCTATCTGTCCTCAGCTAGAGCCGTCTGGCGAGGGTGCGACTTCATGTTCACATCAAGCAATCCACACATAATTGCACTTCCGTTTGTATGTTGCGTCCACCCTTTCCGTCAGGAATCCCAGCCGGTCGTGAATGTCTGCGTGTCTGCGTGGTGTCAAGCTCTAGAACACCACTGGCAACGCTCTAGATAAATAGTGGTAAATAGTCGCTGCATCACTTCTGAAGAGCTACAGTAGCATCTGCATGTGCGCTTTGGCGTGCAGTGTGCCGGCGACCAAGTGGCAGGATGCTAAGTACAGCTGGTGTCTTTGGACCACGTGCATCCAAGGTTCATGGTCGTGTCTCAGGACAAGCACTTGGGCACAGGACTTTGCAACAGCGGGCGCACGCTTCGAGCCAAAAGGCTGCAGCATGTTATGTCTTGGAGACTGTGCAGCTATCGAGCTCGTTCCTGTCGATGTCACGATGTACTCTCCACTGAGCTGGTTGGGGGCTTTCTTGAATGAAGGTCTTTTCTGGCCTTTGGTGCATGCACTGCGCTTGATCATGCAAAGGCTTTGCTGTTGATTCGGTCTGACTCTACGGGCGATAACTGCTTCAGGAGACCTCTATACCCTGTTGCAGTAAGGTCCCAGAACACCTCGATCGCCCACCGCGGCCATGCCATCTTCAATTCCTTTTCGCCCAGAGGCGGTGGAGTTGTGTGCCATCACCGAAGCCCGGCATGTCGACAAGATACACAGGCCTGTGAGCATTTTTCGCCAATCGTTTGTAGATTATGCATGCAATACTGCCCATTTGAGACACTATATACCCAAAGTACCTGGCAATCGTATTATCGAAACAACTATACCCAGGCCTGAAACGCAGGTCCGAGTCAGGATGCAAAGCGCAAAGCACTTCGTCCGTCCGCCCCTCCTGTCACGGAGAATGGGGACCGGAGGGGCTCGTGCAAGTGAGCACGTGTTGAGTGGGCTCTGGGTGCTACTGCGAGGGCCAGGCCAGCTTGGCATGGACGGTGCTGAGATCTACGCGGCCCACTAGGGCCTAACTCGAACGGAAACTCTGACAGAAGGTTACGTGCAGATCCAACGGGACTGGGAAAGTTGAGAAAGAACTAAACACTTTGAGAAAAAGCGGCGACATGTTCGACACCGAAAAGCGGTTTCCAAAGCGAAGCATCGCGATCGAAACTTCAAGGATTTTCACAAAAAAAGATTCAGAAAGCCAATCGAAACAGAATGGTGATGGGAAAGGAGGCACGCCTTGTGAAAGGGACCATGACGAAAGAGTGCAAACTCTTTCAGAAGCGATGGTTGTAAGCGCGGTTCGAACGAGACTATGGCATTCGCACCTGTTGAGCGCGTGGCCTCGTTGAAACCGAGGACCAAGCTGATTCCGTTTGAACTGGACTGCACGCTTCAACCTGCACACCCCCGTACCTTGGCACTTGCAATCCATGTAGCTGAGGCTTACAACCATGCCCCCGCGAGTGGTATCAGTTTCTATGGCAAGATAGTCGCCAGCTCCGCCTCCGAGAGGCCAGCCTTCAAATACGAGAGGCCAAACACCTGCGGAGTGCGGTTCGACATGACATGGAGCGGGCTTTTCTTGGAGGCCCCGTCGTTTCGTGCAGGCTCGTGATTCCTTTTTCTTAAACGAGGAAGTCACCGAAACGAAAGCTGCACGAACTGCACTCAACCTTCAGCAGAAGCGACCTCGCAAGTGAGAAAATGAAGCACGGCCCTGGATCTGCAATCCAAGCTTTCTCGCACTGGCCGGCCTCCCGAAAAAATGTGGTCTTGCCGGTGTCGGGTGAACCCGCAGTGACCAGCAATTGCACTCTGGCCTAGGTGGATCGCTTCTCGGGTTGATAGATGGACCAGAATTTTAGAATTGGAGTAGAACATGCATTCCTTGACGGGTCACAACTCCAACATACTGTAAGTGTGCCTTGTGCATGTTAGGTGGCTTGTTGAACCAGCCACTCACGAAGAGTAGCACCAACCGTGGCCACAGCGAAGGGGTTTGAAAGATACTATTTGGCTACCCTGCTTCCAGCAGCAGCAATCCTAATCGATCCCGACAGGCAGCTCACCGTGCTGTTCGAAAGCTCATGAGCAGAAGCATGCAAAGCCAGCAGCCAATAGTGAATGAGAGTAAGTTGATGGCGTGTAGCGAACGTAAAAAGCTACTCTGGTGATCCCGAGAAACCGCAAGAGCTGGCAGATTAAGTCTGGCCGTCTGATGCTTGGCGTGAACGGAGTGCATGATCTGTCTCATGTGCTTATAGTGGCTTATAGCAGTCGGTCCCAGACTTTGTTAAAGCTTGGACATGAGCACATCCGGGCCACTGTCTGGACAGCAATGACTTCGGACTTCGGCGCCTACTTAATTTCTTGCTGTGCTTTGCGTTCGTCCAGGCTCCCAAAAAGTCTTGAAGCAAGGCTGAGCATTTCGGGTGTTTGATCTGAAGTGCTGATGTCTTTCCCGGAGCAACACCACTAACCCGTAGCCGTCAGACGCTCGGGCTAATGATGCGAGACGGGGCCCCTTGATCTCGATACCACAGTACACGGAAATCCAGGAGACTTGCACCATGTATGCTTGAAGCTGGTGCCGGTTGAAAAGAGGCTCGGTGATATAGCCCGCAAAGCCCACTGCACACATCTGCATACAACAAACCGATGACGGCTTTGCCATGCTCAGATGGCCTTGCGTCAACGTGCGCTAGCAAACGGCCAGAGTTGGGAAGCCAAGAAAACTGAAGAGCCCCCCCCTGAACTCCTGGCATGTCGAAATTGCAGGCTAGGGAGCCAAATGAAGCCGCATCAGCGTTAGCAGTGCCAAGGCTCGATCCCCTGCCTTTGGTACAGCTCATCAAAATCTCTCTCGCTAGTCATGTCACAGCTATTTGTTGCTTTTTGTCCCTCTCCCTTCCTGGCTCGCTCCTTTTGTACCGTGCTGCCCAAGCACACGGGGTCAACACCGCAGTCGGGCGAAACCCAGCGACTGGGAAAAGACATTTTGCTTGGGCACTACTATGCACTGCTGTCTCGTCTTGGTCTGGCCTCTGTTTCTCCGTCTGTGCTTGAATGTGGCTCAGGAGTTCTAGCCCCTGGAGAGGCAACAAGTGCACCGTGGGCTTACGGCATCGTGTTGACAGAACATGTTGTTGAGGAAACGGGAGATACTATCGTGAACGAGAATGGAACAAAACTCGGCCCGGCAGATTTGCAGGGGGATTCGGGCTTTATTGCACCAAGGCCCAAGTTACATGTGCATCTCTGGGACGCTTTTGGAGAGCTGCCTGCAAAGGGCTTCCAGGATGCCCTAGCACTATCTCAGGTCGGCGCGACCCAGGCCCGCCCAGCAACCATGTTAGTGGGTCAGCCGGCAACTGAACTCGTTGAACCATGTCGTCTTGCTTCGCTTTATCCCATCTCATACGGGAAACCCCCTTCGAGCAGGCCATGCTACAAACAAAGCACCACAAAGCAAATTTGCGCCGCTCTGGTCGGTGCTGGCAGATGTACTCTCAAGCGCTCGTTAGCCTCCTCGCAGTCATCGCTCCGCGCGAGGGTCCCTTCCTGATTCTGGAAAGGGCTGATAGGACAGGAACCATGGCTCATTATGTGTGTAAGGATTGGTTGACAACTCTGGGACTGCTTCATCAGCCTGCGACATGCAAGCCGCCCTCCATGAGCTGTAAGCAAATCTCTGTGCTTACCCAGGCATTACTTTGCAAGTAGCCTTGAAACCCAAACCTGAACCAGCTGAAACAACAGAACGACAGCTCGACCAAGGATAGTGGAGATGTTTCACCGCAGCAGCCCCACCTTGCCGGTATATGGAAATCCAAATTCGCAATCCAGGCCGGAGCACATCCAGCTGCTCACAACAGGAGCGGAAGCTGTGCCAAGCATTCCTAATGGAGCGACAGCCGCGTGGTGTCTGTGATGTTGAAGGTTCGAGTGGTTCCGGGCTTGCCATAAGGACAGGCAGCGCCATTGCTTTTGATGCGGCACGGGTTTGAAACAAACCAGCACCAACACACAGTCGGTTGTGGCCCTGTTTCAAGTCTCCGGTGTCTTCTTCATGAGAGCTGAGAGCACTCTTCATGAAACATTACCCAGGCCCCCAGGGAGACCTGCAACTACAGCTGGATGCTAACCCCAAAAAACCCAGAACCATGTTTAGATTCAAGCTCAGCGGCCCGCATGCCCCTCCAGCTCGCCAAGGACCCTCAAAGGCTTTGCAAACACGAGGGTCACCACAGAGAAGGCCACCAGCCTGAAAAAAACAAGCCAGTGCCCCGTAACAGAACCGTACGGCATTTCGGAGACGAGTAATCCCTTCCCCCTTTTATTGAACACCCCCCTAATAATAAAAAAACACATTGGACCCAAGCCTCCCGAAATCATCCCTGCCCTTCAAAACCTATTCGGAATTAGGGGGGTCAGAGTTGAAGGTTGAGGGGGTAGCCTCTCTGGTTGACAGCTGTCGGT